ATATCTGTGTAGAAAGAATATAGATAGATACCTGGAAAGAATGTTAGAACCGGGAGGGGCCTTATCAGAACATTCAGTTCAGCTCCCTCATTTTATAGCTCAGGCTTTTAACAGTTGTCCATCTGGTCTGTCCATACATCCATCCATCCATCTGTTCAGTAAACACTTGAGTGCCTGCTTCATAGTCTGAAGATGGCTCAAGCTGTACACTCCAGGTGATCTACCCTTATTGGTCAGCAGACATCGAGAGGAATATATTTCAGTCTAGAAACACTCTGGGCATGGAAACAGACATAAATAACCAAGAAGATGCTGGACCAGAGAAGGAATGATGACTCTTTATTGTGGGTTGAAGGGGGGTTAAGAAAGGCTGTGTTGAGGGAACCTTGAGGGAAGTTTCTGTGGGGTTATAAATCTGCTAAACTAGCCACAAGTTAAGAGACTTCTCTTGTATTAAGTTAAAATTCTACTTACTTGGTATTATTACTAATATACAGTATCTGTTTCAGTGTAGAAAATGATAATGAGTCAATACGCTAAACCTTGATGATGGGCTTGTATTTATTTATTTATTTTGGCTAGGTCTTACTGTTCCCTTAATTTGCTCGTTATTAGTATTTAATGACTCAGAGAATGTTGTTCTTTTGCTACATACTACAGCAGAAGATTTGAGAGTGTCAGAGCTGAAGGGGCCATACCTATCATCTAGGTCAACTTATTTCCTCCTGATTTAAGTATAATTCATGTTTTATGCCATCAGGGGTTTATGCCACAATTCCGTCTCTATTAAATATATCCCTAATATTATGTCAGGGAAGGTGTACAAAGTGGATGCCGTACACCTCTTTCAAGCAACATGATGTGGCCTTGGCCATCCGTATTGAGCATCTACTGTGTGCTAGAGTCTTCTCTGCTTTTGTAGATCATTAATTTGTTAAGTGAGTTCCTCCTCCAAATGAAAATTGTTAATGCTGTTCACAGCCTTGGGGTAGAGAGCCCTCATTAGGTAGAGGAGCTTTTTAGGAGCCTGGTCCCTGTTTCCCTCCAGCTGCATTGTAGTTCTTGGGGTGGGGACCCTGGCATTTCCACGTGTCCAGACTGCAAACATAGCAGGAAATATTGAAGACAGGAAGAGTTCGCAGAGGACATAGGCCCTTGATGATGGAAACACAGCAGGGCTATTCCTACAGTGTAATTATTTTTCTGGACCTTCCAGATTCTTCAGGTTTTCCATAAAACTAGTTTATTTCAGAAAGAGCTGTTGTAAAATAATAAAATAACTCCTCCCCTCCAGCATATGATCTTAAAAAAATTCGTGAGCTTGACTTCTTAAAGGAAGGCCTCATCGTGAAAGCACATCGTGCCTGTGTGATGTTAGCACCCAGAGTGGTGCTGGACACGGAGTTGGTGGTGACCCATCGCTGCCACTCAGGGAACCTCGAAAACTTGGCCTGACGGCCCTTTTTGTTGAGTCAAGCTTTACCGTTACTCAGAGAAAGCGAATGTTGTGAATTCAGGTTTCCAGTGACAGTCATGCAGGTGATTGGCTTCTACTTTGTTGATTAGATTTCATGGCGCCTCACCCACCTGCTGTCTCTGAGCCTTTAGATGAGACACATGGTGCCCACAGACTTTATTTAAAATTTTTTTTTTCTTGTTTCTTATTGTTTTTAACATCTTTATTGGAGTAAATTGCTTTACAATGGTGTGTTAGTTTCTGCTTTATAACAGAGTGAATCATCTATACGTATACGTATATCCCCATATCCCCTCCCTCCTGCGTCTCCCTCCCACCCTCCCTATCCCACCCCTCTAGGTGGTCACAAAGCACCGAGCTGATCTCCCCGTGCAATGCAGCTGCTTCCCACTAGCTATCTGTTTTACATTTGGTGGTGTATATATGTCAATGTTACTCTCTCACTTCATCCCAGCCTAACCTTCCCCCTTCATTGGGTCCTCAAGTCCATTCTCTACGTCTGCGTCTTTATTCCTGTCCTGCCCCTAGGTTCATCAGAACCTTTTTTTTTTTTTTTTTTTTCATTTAGCATACGGTGTTTGTTTTTCTCTTTCTGACTTACTTCACTCTGTATGACAGACTCTAGGTCCATCCACCTCACTACAAATAACTCAATTTCATTTCTTTTTATGGCTGAGTAATATTCCATCGTATATATGTGCCACATCTTCTTTATCCGTTCATCTGTCGATGGGCACTTAGGTTGCTTCCATGTCCTGGCTATTGTAAATAGTGCTGCAGTGAACATTGTGGTACGTGACTCTTTTTGAATTAGCCCATAGACTTTAGATGAGAAGCATGGCTGTGTGTCTGTTTTGCACAGGCAGATCTTATAGGTGCAGTTTTGATGATTGAAATTTCACCCCAGGGAAGTGGCTACCTGCCAGAAATTCCAACAAAATTCTTTCACCCTTGTCCTTAAATAATTCCTCAGGCTCCAAGAAAAAGGTGCTGGTTGCCAGTGTGCTATTGCCACAGGCCAAGACCGTACAGGCCTGTGTGGCCTGGGGATCCCCATGTGGGTTGCAGGCTCACCAGCAGCTTAGCCCAGTGACGGAGGAGCAGCGCAGCGTTCCTCGTTGCTAAAGCTGAGTCCTATTTTTCAACATAGGGAACATGGAAATCATGCCTGTTGGTACGTAAGCACATGTCTGTTGATTTCTTTTTATATAAAAATGTAAAGACATTCCACGGGATCAGGGCAGCTGTAATTGATGGTATCTGAAAGAGCTACTACATTAATATTTAGCTAATTCGTATGAATAGGCTATTGTGTTTGCTTAAACAGATAACATGAATGCAGACACCTGACAGCATGAGGTATGCTTTTCATTTAGGTCAGATTTGTAAAAGTCTTTGTGTAGCGACAAAGCTCATTATTTATTTTGTGCTCTCAATGCTTTCTTTTTCAGTGGCTGTGGATGGAATTTTCTAAGTAGAAGCTTTTAAAATGAAAGATGATTGAAATTGTTTCAGTATATGCCAGGCCCTGGGAGACTTATGATAAATAGGAATCAAGTACTCCCTGGGGAACCCTCAAAAGAATAGGTGTGTTTATGGGCATTTGACACCCCAAGTCAAGTGGCTACCAAGTTGCCTACTCATTACAGATGCAACTGGATTCAGAGGAAAGAAGGGCAGCTCTATTTTCTCCCCGGGCTCCCCTCCCGCCCTCCCACTGGCCTTTCTCTCTCTGGTGCACATGACTGACAAGTTTTGCCTCCCTTTGCTCTGCCTTGGCATCGTGTCAATACCACCCATACCCCACCACCTTGACACTTAGATAAGCAGAAGGATAAAGAAGATACAGCATGTCTCCCTGTTAAGAAATCCCTGTTTCACCTTTTATAGCAGGTTTCAAGAGCAAGGGTGAGTCAAAGAAGGGTAGGTGTTTTGGATGCAGTTTTTCCACTTTCTGATTCCACCATGACAGCCTGGCTGTTAAGTGAAGGGCATTGTTACCTCGCCAGGAACGAACTGTGTCATCCACAGAACAGAGAAGGAAGCTTCTAAATCTGCATCGTAGACAAAGCCCCTTCCTACGCCCATTTTTGCTTCTGGTTTGTGGAGGGTGTGTGCTGTTGCTCAGTCTAATAACCCTTGTTGGAAATAAGCACTTATGGATCAGTCTTCAAGAGTTTCAGTGTTCCAGAATGTCCTAGGACGTTAAAGCCCCTGCTGATGGATGCTTTAGGGGAGGATACAGGGATTTTGGTTACCTGTTTGCTAAGACAGAACCACGCATGTGAAAAGTTAAATTGCTGTATAAGATTTCATTGGAAACTCCTGGGCAGTAATGACGGAGGCGGTGTTTCTTCAGCTGAGGCTGTGTGTCCTGGACGCCAGTCCTGCACATTCAAAGAGGTTAAAGGTATGGATTCCAATGCTTCGGAGAGTTAGGTAGGGGAGACACACAGTGGGCTCTGCAATCACACTGCCTCGGCTCACATCCTGGTTGTGCTTCCTCCTAGTTTTGTGGCTGTGGGCAGATTACTTCTCCGTGACTCAGTTTCCCCATCCCTAAACAGGGATTATAATTGAATTGTGTCAGGATTAATACAGTAAACACGTGAGAGCTTTTGGGGCTTTGTCTGCAAATAAGAAGCACCCAGTCAATAGTGGTCTTGAGCCATTATTAGCAGGCTTGAAGAATTTATGGCAATATTCCCGATTGATGCCGTGACTTTAATTTAGAAAAAAATGTCCTTCCTTTGGTAATGGAAAAAGGTGTCTCCTTCTTTGAGTTTAAAAAATCACTAGTGTCCCTGTCTTTGAGGGCTACTTAGAGGGCACAACTTTAATGTGTAATTGGCAGCTTCCTATTAAGTTACCTGCTTAGACATGCTGGTAGAATTATGGCATTCACAACCACCATTTGAGAGGAAAGAAACCTTTTTTTTTTTTTTTTTTTCATTTTAAAAATTAAAACATATTTAGTAACATGGCTTGTTGACTTGTCATATAAAGTGCTGGGAAATTAATGATGCCTCCCTGAATTATTTTACCCTACTGAGATAAGTTATACTATTGATTACCCTTTGAAGCGCCAATGGATAAATTGATGTGGCTTTTGGGCCACATGTGTATGTGTGTATATGTGATCCTTTCATAGGTGTGGTGATCTAAAATGATATATTTGAGGGGGACTCAGCTGTTCTTATGCTATGTGTTGTCACTGTGTGTCTAAAGTAGCATTTTAAAACATGATTCATGAATTTATATTCTGGCACTAAGAACAGGGAGAGAAGGTTCCCTGTTAATAGACATAAACTATAAACTATCAAGCAGCCCACCTCCAGGGACCTTCTGGGAGGCCAGCTGGATCAGACTTCAGAAAATGTTTCCCTAATGTAAATATTACCCAAAGATTTTGAAAGCGTCGGATCATTCACATACAAAAGAAAATGATCTTACCTGTTAGGAGTTTAATGACGGAGATGAAGCTATCCATCTATGTACATTATAATGTCATTTTCCAAAACAGGAGCACCGTATTGGACCAACACAGAAAAGATGGAAAAACGGCTGCACGCCGTCCCAGCAGCCAACACTGTCAAGTTCCGCTGTCCAGCTGGGGGGAATCCAACACCAACGATGAGGTGGCTGAAAAACGGGAAGGAATTTAAGCAGGAACATCGCATTGGAGGCTATAAGGTAGAATGAAGCTTTCAAAATATTCTATTTCTTAAATTTTTATTTCTTTATTTTTTTAAGTAGTCAAAAGTTAGCAGGAACTAGAAGGAATATTCTTTTAAAAAAATCAGTACTTATCATAATTGATCATTTCCATGTTTGATATTTTTAAAAAATTACCCTGGACTTGCATGTAATTTTAAAGTACAATCCCCATTTGTGTTGTTCTTTATATGAAGAGAGTTTAGTAATAGAAGGGTCGAAAGTTGAGAGTCTGTTTTCTATATGTTTTATGGTCTGTAAAACTAAAACTGGAGCAGAATTTGAGAAGTGTAAGTACAGTTGCCCTATCTGAGCAGGATTGTATGAACAGTGGATGGACTTGGATGAGAGACTAGGGTATGAAATACTACTTGTTAAGAGAGAACGCTTCCCGGAACTTCCCTGGTGGCGCAGTGGTTAAGAATCCGCCTGCCAATGCAGGGGACACTGGTTTGAACCCTGGTCCGGGAAGATCCCACATGCCGTGGAGCACCTAAGCCCGTGTGCCACAACTACTGAGCCTGTGCTCTAGAGCCCATGAGCCACAACTACCGAGCCTGCATGCCACAACTACTGAAGCCTGTGTGCCTAGAGCCCATGCTCCACGATGAGAGAAGCCACTGCAATGAGAAGCATGTGCACCACAACGTAGAGTAGCTCCCGCTCGCCGCAACTAGAGAAAGTCCGTGCGCAGCAATGAAGACCCAACGCAGCCAAATAAATAAATAAATAAAACTAAAAAAAAAAAAGAACACTTCCAAGATGACAGAAGCAATCTCCCTGTCCTCCATCCTCAAGGATTCTGAAGAGCCCATTAGAGAATGTGGTGAAATATAGTCTCATCACTCACTGGGGAGGTTGAAATTGACAACCATTTCCCTGAAGATGCCTGTTCAGGTGTTTGTTCATCCATTGAGCAAATGTCGATCGAGTGCCCTCGTAGCAGGCACTGTCCTAGGCTCTGGGCAAAGCATGGCCCTAGCTTATCGGGGCTCCTCGTCTAGCAGGAAGGCAGACAAAAGAGCTGGCAATCAAGACACTGATATGGGTGAAGTTAGAAGAGTATGTTGTGCTGTGGATGTGCAGAGAGAGGTGATGTTGGCTCCTTGGGAGACTAAGGTAAAGGAGATCAGGAAAGGATTCTAGGCTGAGTTTGAAGGGAGGTTGTCTCAGAAGAGTGATATGGAATCTCCAGATCATTTAGTGTGGAAGGGGAGAACTTTACGAATTTAGTATATGAAGATGACTTAAGGAACCTTACTGTGAAATTCTTTGGTGCATTTGGAACATGAATGGGTGTATCAGTTACCCATTGCCTTGTAACAAATTACCCCAAGACCTGGTAGTTTTAATAATAGCATTTATTCTCTCACAGTTTCCATGGGTCAGGAATCCAGGTGTGGCTTAGGTGGCCTTCTGTCTCAGGGCCTCCCACAGGACGGTAATCACGGTTTCAGTTAAGGCTGGGGTCTCATCTGAAGGGTCAGTGGGGAAGAATCTGCTTCCAGACTCACTCATGTGGTTGTTGTCAGGATTCACTTCCTTGCAGGCTGTTGGACTGGGGGCCTCAGTTCCTCACTGGCCGTTGGCTGGAGGCCACCCTTTGGCCACATGGGCCTCTCCGTAGGGCAGCTGACAGCATGGCAGCTGGCTTCCTGAGGGGGAACAGACAAGACAGAGGAGAGTATGAGGAAGATAGATGTCACAGCCTTTGTAACCTAATCACAGAAGTGCCATCCCACCACTTTTGCTGTTTTCTACCATTAAGTAAGTCACCAAGGGAGGTGATTATTGAGGGCACGGATATCAGGAGACATGGGGATCACTGGAGCATCGGAGGAACCTGCACAGTGGATGAAACAATATGCATCAACTCAGGCCCCAGGTCCTTAAGAACCATGTGGGAGAGGATTTCTTGGTGGCAGCAGTGTGATACCCAGGAGGACTTTCCTTGATGTACCCCTTACCTGTGTTAACACAGCAACATCACTTTAGATGGCACGTGAGTCCCTGTCCCATCCCTGCTGCGCTCAAATGGGGCTTCCCTCCACACAAAGTGCCCCAGGGCCCTTTCCTGAAACACTGTACACAGTTACTCATCTTGAAAGGGTTAGTATTTTCCTCTGTAGGAACTATTGACTTTTGTTTTAACATTGAAAAATTACTTTCTAGAAGCCAAAACCCAGAGGATAATTGGGAAAGCCTACGAGTAAATTTCTAAGCGCACGTGTGGGCAGTTTATGTGTGAAACAGATGTGAAACACATCTGCTGGAAGGTGGATGCCTTTGAAGCTGTGGAGTAGAAATACTTGGCTTGTCTTCTATGCCTCCTGCTCATTGAGGGAAGCAGTAGCAGGAGGACGATTTGTTTCTTTGTTCAGTCCTTAGACCGGTACAATGAGATTGGAGGTTGGCTTTTTTTTTTTTTAAAGAATGAATAGACAGAGATTTCATTAGGTGATGCTGGTTGTAAAGGAAGAGTTAAACCACTAAAATCGAGGCCCCCGGGATTGTTCTAACCACCAAACTTTCTCTGAAATCATAACTGATGCAGTTCCAATGATTTATTTAAATACAACTTGAGTATAAGAAGGGTGGTCAAAATCTTGGTGGTTAACTCATTTCCTTCCTTAACAAAGTCTGGGAAATGAGTGCAAAGGGTCAGTGAGCCTCCAGAAACTCCTGGTCTCAAAGTAAATAGGACCAACATCATTATTATGGGTAAGGAGCTTTTTGCAAATCTGAATTAGTGATTACAAATACGCTGGAAGACTAAGGGTGCCGAATGAGGAAATGCTGCTTGCTTTTTAACAGGTGCAGTTCGGTTTTGATTATTGATGACAACACTCCACTAAATGAAGAGCAGCTAATGTTCTAAAAGCGAAACTAGGAACCTTTAGCCTCATCCCCAGGAGGCACAGACGACCAAAGTATTTTTGTTGTTTGATGTTGGAGTCATTTCTGGAGTGAAAGAGGAATGGAATTTGAGTGTGTGGGGAGAAAAATCTAAACTCTGTTTTGCTTTTCAATGAAAAGGGCAGACAAAAGGGAGAGTATTACACCTTTGGAGTGGGGGTGGGGAGTGCCGGTCGGCAGTGATGAGGGTGCATCTCTTGCCCAGCTGGGCTTTCTCTCTGGAGAAAGAGGCTGGGACGGTGGGCCTGACTGGCCTGGGGGCTTGCCGCATCATTGCAAGGGTAAGCAACCTGGATTCACAACAGTTGTGGCATTGGTCATTCGTTTTGGGAATACGGGACACCCTTAGAAATTCCATTGAGCCCAACGGGCTTCTAGGACTTGAAAGGAAAAGACAGAGATCTCTTACCTCCTGGGAAAATATAGTTACCTAAAGCCTAAGTCTTGCTAATGACGTGTTAGACCCACCCCAGGTCCCCGGGTTCCTAGGCCATGAAGTCACTAAAGGTCACAGAGGTGGACTCCCACCTGAGGGCCACCCCTGCTGGGCTGAGCTGCAGGGCAGAGTGGGGAGCATGGTCGTGATGTGGGGTTTTCCCTCTGATGTTTTCTTTGTTACCTACATACACTTGTAAAGAACTGTGTCTCTGAACGTTTGACTTGAGGGATCCATATTGTACAGTTTGTAGTTTCCATTCCTCGGCACTTCCCCCGAAAGCCGAGACCTAATTGTTCACGTGGAGGGCCCGACTGATGTCCAAATGACCCCTCCTCTCACTCCCGTCCTTTTGCTCTTTTATTTAATGAAGAAGCAAATTGTCAAGTTTTCCAAGATGTATTTTTCCAGAAAGCAAGACCTGAAATTTTCCACAAACAAAATTGTGATTTTTTTTTTGGTGTGCATTTCTGTGATTTTTTTTTTTTTCTCCTTCATAAATCTCATTCCATAAACCATGGCTGTGCTCTGATGGCCCAGCTGTCTGTCTAACTCTTTCTACCTGTTTATGGGCTGGGCACTTTGGCCCTGGTCTACTGTATTATGCATATGTGGCCATTGAAGGGAGAAGGAACACAAAAAACCAAAACAAAGTCAAAGAGAATTATGAAACAGGACAGAAAGCTCATTTTAATTAAAATGGCCCATAGAGCTCTTTGGTATTCTGTGTTTCAGTCTTATTTATCAAAGAACTCATGCTGAGCCATTCTTAGGTTATTAAGAGTCAAATTACTGTTTTTCTTAGTATGTGGGCAAAGGCTGGTTGGATGTTATATAATGACAAAGCATGACTTGAAGCAAAACCATATCTCCCTAACTGTGCTGATGCCTCTGGGCTTTTTAACATCAGTGAAAAAGTTGGCTAAGCTCTCTGGGCTTCACATCACCCGTCCTTAAGATGAGAAGATGGGATAGGAAATCTCTAACGTCTGATCCTTTCCAGCACTAAAACCTGTGATTTAGTAGCATGACCATAATGCAGCATCAGACATTTTTCATCTTAAACAACAGCACAGATTTTGTTTTTTATAAGGAGGTTGTCTTTAAGGTTAGATATTCAGTAGGGCTCTGAACAGTGATTACAATTAAATGTAGAAAAGCAAGAAGATGACTGAGATGATTAACAGACCAGCTCAATTGCTAGCTCATTCCTAGGTAATGATTTAGGCATAGAGGAGAACATTCTTAAAAACCGTTTTTCAAGCCACGTACTAACTGCATAAGACCCAAGAGAGATCATGGGATAAAGCTCTCCCTCAACATGGCCATAGAATTGGCACAAGAGCCCACGACATCCAAGAGGTTAGAATTCCCGCGGAGTGGCCTGGCAGAAGAGAGGAAGCATTGTCGAGTATATGGACTATTCGTTTCCAAGTACATTTCAGGTCCAAGAAAAGACAACTAAAAAAATTATTTTCTTATCACAACTGAACTGGTTGTTTCGATGGTTAGGTTAGATTTACATTTTCTAGGTTATTAAGCGTAATGCTTAACCCCAAAGTATGTTTATTTGGAAAAATCACTACTAATGTGCGTTTTAATATATTTATATTTGTTGAGCTTTTTC